CGGACAATCTGATGGATTTCAGTTGTTATCACCGTTCGTTCACCAGTCGGCCAGTCCATCCGTCTATACGAAAACACGCACATTTGGTCTGTAAGTGATTCACTGAATAGTACTTCTGATTTGACGGTGATCGTTGAGTTTACCTACCACTGACCAATGGTCATCGATGAGGTCGGTGCTCTTAAATGGAATGCTGACAGCGATCGAACGAACCCCAAGAGTAGAGAGAAAAGGAAACTCTGATATGCGCTGGCAATCACCGTGTGACGATGGCTTCGTCTATAGCAATTGGTGGGGACGGTAGGTCTGTCACGCTTGTGTACAGCTTTATGCACCACATGCCCACCGCGTCACGATTCGCAAAAATACGTGGCTAAATATTTTATTTTTGTGTCATGATTTAATACTTCATTCTTTGTACGCGGCATAGCTAGTTTTGGGTCGGATTGACGGGCATGCGAGCGTTTATCAATTAATTTAACCTCTTTGTTCACATTGACTGTGTAATGTAAAGTTTCGGTTTTAATTTTTGCAACCGGTTATTTTTTTATATTTATTTTACGCATTTATAATTTGCCTGCGAGATTTAAAGTACGAGATTCTCTCGCGATGCCGTTGAAGTGGCTGGCCCTCGGCCTCTCAGCTACTGCCCACGGTCACCGGCGAGGTTTACAGTCCACTTCGAGCGGTCATCGAACGAACCGACGCGCGGATGAAAATGCACTTGTGATCGCGGTAGTTATCATCGTATGATAATCGCGCTGTTTCCAGCAGTGCAGTAAAGATCTGTCCGCCTTATATGCAGCATATACATACGGCCTCCAGAAACCTTTTGTTTTTAATAATCATTTTATTCTCGTCCTAATTACTTTTCAAACTCAATTCTTTATTATACCTAACATGTTTTTTCCAATGATCACCACTACTTTGTTTACATTCACTGCTTCATCTAGATCTGTGTGCATATTTTAATTGTTATTTGTTTTTTATTTAAACTGCTCATTTTTATTTTTATATATGTAAAAAGCAGGATTCTTTGGTCAAGCGCTGAAACAGTAAGCCACTGGTCACCGTAGAGGTTACTGGTCGTGATACAGCTAAGCCGAAAATTCAAGTGTACTTTATGAACAGCATCAGTTTCGAGTTGGAGGTATTTGTCCTGATTCCTGCCTGTTATCCACGCGGTTCTTCGAAATATCCATTTTTGGCATTTTGCTTATCTTAAGCTATATATGATTTAATCAGTGCTTAGCTTGATGATTCGTGGTTCCATCTCAGTTGCTGTGAAGACACAATCAAGAGGAACGTTTTACTGTTAGGCGAAGTGCCCATCTATATGATCATCCGCCTTTTTCCATCTACAGCTACATCAAGGCTTCTGCAAGCCTTTGCCATGAACTTCTGTTTTCCTCTATTTTTATCCACCTCGATCCTGCGAATTTTTTCAGCTCATCTTGCCATCGACCTATGGGCAGTATACTCTCTCTTGGAACCCAGTCTAACGTGCCTCTGATCTAGCGATGGTCGGTTCCTTTTACAACGCCTCCTGCCTATTGCCATTTTAAGTTCTTCACTCAGGCAATGACATCGTAAACTCTTGATGTGTTGTTGCCCGCTTATCACATTCCGTATTACTACCAGCGTTTGAATATTGGCAGAAAATAATCCGAGTCTGGAGCAGAGTCGTTCAAGACACTTGCTTCACGTTAATTTTGACCGTCCGCGGGGTCTTCGGCCGATCGGTTAAGCAAGTAATAGCTGTTTCTTCTTCTCTTTTGGAATCATTTGCAACACGTGCTCAACTCATCGCGGCGGTGACTTCTCAGGCTATAGAAGGAGTGGCTGCATATCAAGGTTCTCTCGAATATCTGAATTTTGGGCCATATTGAGACGTGTGAGTCCATCGATTCGTCTCATAAAGTGTCTCTGACCTGGTTGAAGTTATTCGGCCATTGTCCACTACTCATGATCGTAGGTAAGCATGGGGATAAGGATCGAAGAGAGCTTAGTTTTCAGATTCAGCTGTGCCTATTGGTTCGGGCCAA